CCTGCTGAATTCAGAGCTCTGTAGCTGCTCTTCTTGCTGCTTCACAATGTTCTCGTACGAATGAAAAGGCCAAAGTGCTGTCTAAAGTTGAAGGCTTTAGAAGGATTTACGGTTGAAGGATGAACTGTAGTAGCACAGGGCTGTCCATACTCAGCAGCTGGCCTTACCATGGGAAGTAAGAGGCTCCTTGTTTTCCTGAGCAAGCGCTCTGCTCTTCTAACTGAGGAAAGAGCTTTGCAGGCATCACAAGGGGTACTGCAGCTCTTGGGGATCATTTAACTGTTCATGCAAAATGCAACTAGATGCAGATGCAGTGAGTTCTTTTACAACAGAGAATAAAATGGAAATACAGAGCTGTTCATTCTTCCATGTTCCAACAATACAACTTTCTCTTTCTCATCAGCAGGAGAATCACCTTTTTTAACTCTGGAATCATAGGAGAAGCCAAACATCTATTTTAAATTCCTATAAAGGCTATGACATAAGGTTAAGCATATTCTTCAGGGACATAGACATCTTTTCTGGGATTTGCAGCTACCTCAATGGATGCAGAAATCATGGATTCCTGGATTACCTTGTGGGTGGGGGATTCCTCCAGAGAAGTATTTTGCAAGGGCTGTATCTGGTTCTAGCCCTTCTAGTGAGGATGGACAAAAGGAGACACTGACTAAAAAGGAAATTTAAAAAAAATTAATAAAATAAATGTGAAGAAGGGCAGAGATTAGGAAACTAACAGATTTATCTGACTACCAAAGAAGCAGGTGAAAACATCTTTCACATCCCAGACCACATGGTTTTTACACAAGGAAACAACTTGGCCTTTACCTGGAACACTGACTCACTATGAATTGGCTTTCTTAGCCTGGTAACATCTTAAATTTTATATTATTTAATGACAGGATTAGATTGGGCATTCTCTTTTCAGAGATTTGCTGAAGTGAACTACCAGTTCAGATTTGGTGCCAAACAGTAGCAGCTAAACACTAGGAGAAGCTGCTGAGCTCTTGCAGTAGTTGCTATGGGATGTGAGTGAGTAGGGAAGGTGAAACGTAGCATGGTGATTCCCCTCAAACCTGCTGCAATAGCTGCTAGCCAGGAAAATTCTAGCCTCACTACAAGGGTTGTGGATAGCCTGTGATAGCAAGAGATGTAGACACATGCCAGCATCATATGGGCAAACAATTACCTAAATTACAGTGCTGTGTTTGGTTTTTTTGAGAAACTGAGGCGCAAGACACTGGAGATCCTACAGTCATTCATTCCTCCTCCTTTTCATCTGTTAGAGGTTGTAACACGGACAAGCCAGCTTGTTCACTACAGGTGAGGCCCAAACTCATTTTGCCAGTCTATTATAAATCTGACCTGTCAAGTCTCACACTTTACTTTTGAGATACAATCCTCTGGCTCCTGTGCCAAATCTGCCTCTGCACAGCCAGAATTGCCACTGCCCTGTAAGCCTTCCTACTCTGCCAGCAACATTTTTCATGGGATCCCAGGACAGTAGCATGCCTGGAGCATTGCAGCTTTGGGAGGAGCAGAAAGCAGGCTCCCAAGGGTCAAAGGAGATGTCCTGGAACAAGTATCACTTAGCAGCATCCTTTATCTGTGGACTTTCAGACCCGAGTCTGTGCATGTCTTTGACAGGCACGAGAACATCAGTTGCCTGACCTACAGAGTACTACTTATCAAGTCATATGGAAGTGGAAGGGCTGAATAATTCACAGAAGTGATAAAGCGCAGGCTCCCATTTAAACTTGAGCTGTGTACTTGTATCTTGTAAAGTTGGTTATCCAACTTCCCGTCCAAACAGCAGTGGGAAGATGGCAAGACAAACAATACGGCAAGACAAGTCTAATGTTACTTAAAACTATGAATTCTTACCTCATTTCAATGTCCCATAATGCTGAATCATCACTTATCCAGGGATTGGAAGGCTCAGCAGGAGTTATAAAGGGGTCATATTCCATATATTGCTCTGTGTAAGTTATTAAACTGGCAGATATTAAAAAAGAAAAAAAAAAGAAAAAGAAAAAGAAAAAAAGTAAAGAATCAGGGCCTGAATGATCACTCACATGTCAGAGAGGTACAGCTTATTTTTTTTGCTCGCTTTTTTGTGTGTGTGTGTGCTTGTGTGTAGGGACTAGTCAGCTTCTCAGCAACCACAAGAATCCCTTTTCCCAGGGATGGCCCATGCAAGGACTTCTCTGCAAACACCCACCAGCTCACTGCAGTATTTTCCTCAAGCTCATCTCTATTGAGCTGCTCACAAAATACCTTATGAGGCAACAACTGGACTGCTGTGGCTGGACTTCCTCCAGGGAGCCAGGGGACGACTACAAAGCACATGCCCCCCTGTTCATTTGTTGCAGGTTACTACTGCCTCTTGCCCTTTTGGTTTTTGCAGACTTTTGAACCCACTTCATGCATGATGAGTAACTCATTTAAATAGGGTCATATGTTGCAGCTAAGAATATACTTCAGAGGATCACAGTCGTAAGCTTCAAGCCTACAGGCTACAGACCATTTTTGTTACCTCAGTAGAACATTTAGTCTAATGGCACTACGGTAAAATAAATGTAGTTTACAACAATTAACTTAGAATGTAGTAAATTATACGCATGTTGGAAAAACACCTGGCCTTTATACTGGCTTGCTTCATGATGAGTCAGATAAGACATTCAGCTTCTAATCCTCACTAGGATGAGATTCAAAGAGCTTTCTGGGAAAAGGACTGTGTCTGCTTGCATAAGTGATTCAGGAATTCCACTGGGCTTGAGGCAAGGGGCACATTTTTACAAAAGAAAGACAGCAAAAATGAAAAAAAAATCAAAAGAAATTTGTCCTATTCTATACTGGAAATACTATAAGACACTTTTTTATTTTTTTGCCTATGTCTGCCAAGTAATTAACGAAGTTAATTAAGTTCCATCATACTGAACAACCAATCTACTTGCACTGTGATTGTCCATACTAAACTTTACCTCTAGTCTTCAACATCTCAAAGAGGTAGAAGAGTGAAAAGATCCTGTGAAACAAAGGGTCACAAAAGGCAGAAAGTTTCCCTGACCTGCTCTACAGTAATTATTTCTTTTTGTTTCTCCTAGCTCTTATCATGAGGCATTAAAATCATACACTTTTGTAGCCACAGCAGGTTCCCACTGCCCTCCAGGGCACTCAGGGCTGTCTCGTCTCATTTTGTTAATTACATTTCATGACTGCTGAGGGTCAAGGGTTGGAGAAGGGAGCAGTGTTCAATTTCAGAGAGTAGCAGCAATCCCTGAGACATCAATGAGAGGGCGGGTTGGTTGAAAAAAAAACAAACAACAAAAGGGATCAATTAGGAGATATCTCCTGTGGAACTTGAACTGCTCCAAATAAAATAATAAGGTGGCATTGGAGGTGTTACTACAAGTACTAGTAAAAATAAAAGGAGAAAAAACTAAACTAAATGAAACAAGGGGGAATTCCTAAGCACATTTTGCTGATTGAGTATAATGACAGCAGTGGAATCGTTACCTCACTGTCTAAAGGAGGCTACAGGCAAGGCTTAGGCGACTCCTAAGGGGAAGCACTTCTGTCAAAATGCAAACTTGGACTTTTTGGCCTCTCAGGTGATGTGCTGTAATTCTGGTAGAAGAGGTGGTGAGAAGTGTTCACTGAAGGGTGCAGAGCCTTGAGAACACAACTGTCTTGCAGTCAGGGGGCCCTACTGAACCTTCACAGTAACTTTGAGAAGCTGAGGGGATAGAACAGATTTTCATCTAGGGAGCTGAGACTGCTTCTAGGAGGAAGATGATCTGTTTTTCCCCAGCCATTTCTGCCACGCCACACGTAGTGGGATTGTACTAACACTGCAGGATGCACTCAGGGAAAACAGCAGATAGAATATACTGATAGTTTCGCTCAACAGTTCTCAAATTTCATTGCCAAATCTTGAACCTGACAGTGTGCAGGTCCCAGCTGGGGACAAAGGGTATGGAAGAAAGGAGAAGAAAACTATTTCCAAGGTGCTTGGAGCAGCTGAGGGATGCCTGCTCCCACAGTTGGTGCAGATCTACTCCTGGAAGTGGGACAGGGAGGAGGGGAAAGAAAATCCTTAGTAGTGGCTATTTATTTAATGTGAACTGGGAGTAACCTTTTGAAAACCTTTCCATTCCTCTTCTGCTAGACAAATGCTACCCCTCAGAATAGGAAATTAATGGAAAACTTCCCTTGTCCTGCCTGGAAGTGCCTTTGCACTGTACTGAAAAACTGGCAGGTGGTGCTGCTGCCAGGCTTGGCTGCTAAAAGCAGCATGCCAAGAAGCTGTCTCCTGCACCCCGATCTGCCACAACGTCACCTCAACTAGTCTTCAAAGTGGGGCCCAGCCTGGCAAGTGACTTGCTAATAATGGCAAGTTCTTACGCAGCAGATCTGTTCCTGGTGTTTGTATTTAGTGCTTTACATCAGCTTTCCAGGCTTAACGGGGTTTTATTTGTTCTGGTTTGGTTTGGTGGGTTTTTTGGTAGTGGGGGAAGGGCCCCAGGAGCGGCTCCAGTAAGAAGCTGAGAAGCTTCCCCAGCTCCAAAACCCAGCCAAAGATCCCTTAGAGGGACAACAGATGTATGCACCTCAGCAATTAACATATGAAAGAATCAACATGAGCAGAGCACCTGAGCAGCAAAGCATTTAGGGGAGAAGAGCTGTGCAGAAGGAGGAGAACAGTGCTGGTGGTCAGTGAGGAAGAAGGGGAAGAAGGTGCCCAAGCAGAAGTTTCCCTGCAGCCCATGGCGAGATGGCAGCTGTCCCCCTGCACTCATGGAGGAATGTGGTGGAACATTCCCTGAAGGTGCCAGGAAGGGTGAACTTGGCCACTGGGCTGGGATTTTGTGGCCAGTGGATTTGCTGCCTGTGGACTCTGATTGTGCAGCTTTGGAAGACCCCAGTGCCAGGGGAGTTTGTTCCCGAAGCAGCCCCTGACTCTGTGGGAAGCCCAGGCTGGAGCAGCTTCTGACCTCGTGGGAAGGACTCATGAAGGAGAGGTTGGTGGAGGACTCATGAAGGAGAGGTTGGTGGAGGACTCATGAAGGAGAGGTTGGTGGAGGACTCATGAAGGAGAGGTTGGTGGAGGACTCATGAAGGAGAGGTTGGTGGTGGACTCTCTGCCATGGGAGGGACCCCGTGGGGAAGCAGGGAAGGACAGTAAAGAATCCTTCCTGAGGAAGGGACAAATTAAAATATAAAAGAGCTCAGAGCCCTTTCAAACCAGGAAACACTTCCATCCAGTTTTAATGAAAACTAATTTTTTTCAGCATTGACGATTTTACATTTATAATGTCAGTAGCTCCTTATGAACTTGAATTATAGGTGTGCTATGTGGACAGGTTTCAATGCTCACAAGTGAATTAGTTTTACTGAGTCCCTCTTATTGAATAAATACCTACCTAGAAAAAATTCAAGCAAAATAGATCTGCTTGCTTGTAAATTACCAGCCTGGAAATTATTACTGTCCCAGTATATTAAGGTCATTGTAAGTAAATACAGTAAAAAATGACATTTTTTTGGTAAAGCACAAAGGTATCTTCTTAACAAATAAGAACCAGAAAGCCCCAAACATAAACATAAATGTGCTAATTTCAATTGTACAAGGTAGTGTATGCAGGATTTCAGAGCGCCTCCGAATATTTTGTATCTAATTGGATAAATTTTCATTTTAATTGTTAAATTTTATGAGCCAATGGGAATTTACTTTGGGGCTCTTGCCATTTAATTTGCCTAGTTTAATACACATGTGCTAATTACAGATGCAGACAC